CTAAGCAAAGTTTTATAAGACCTACAACTGGTCATGATTCCATTCATGTATTAAATAAATCCACAGACATTTGGGAATTCTTCGAAATCAAATAGTAAATTTGTTTCATCTTTCTTTCTTCGTACTGAATACTTTATAAAAATAGTTTCTTTGAATACAAAATGAATTAAGAATGTCTTTTTACATATATTAATCTACAGAAATAGGTCTAAAGAGAAAATAAAACTTTTGCTTTGAGTATTTCAGAATGGAGATTAAATTAAAAAGTTAAATAAAATATAACATATTTTTATGACAACTGGATAATGTTCCTTTTCATTGATATAACCTCTAACAGATTCAATTATATCATCAATTATTAGAAAAAATGTTTAACCTTTTGAATCATATTCAAAATTATATTATTCACATAAAGAAATGTGATTTTAATCAAACAAATCTATACATTTCTTTTAAAGGTATTTCAATAGCCAATACAAGTATTTTGTCGTCTTAAAGGACCCGTGAAAGGGTCAAGTGGTAGCAACGAAGATTAATGTATTCACGAAAATAGTTTTTATTGGATTTGTGATATTAAAGCAAAATCTGTTTTAAATTATATCAATGAATATTTATTCTTCTGTTCAAGTAACAATTTATTTATAGAAATTATGGTATAAAAGTATTATAGATTTATCATTCTCAAATATGTGTGTGTGTGCGCATGTGTGCGTATATGTACATGTGCATATACATTCACCTGACTGAACTGACAATAGATAGTTTTCTAAGTTTCATTGAACTGACAATAGATAGTTTTCTAAGATTCTTGTATAAATACCTCTAATTACATGCATTTTAATGAACAGATTAAAATTCTATAAAGAATTCAAACATTAACATAAAACTATTCCTTCATTCGCTAAAATTTTTCAAGAAATTTTATTCACTTAATGCAAAAATTATTATTAAATATAATACAGCTGTTATCTTAATACAGATACATTTTAATATGTAACTTTTAAGAATTGTAGTTACAAAATCATTTGAAATAATTTTGCAACAGGGAACCAATAAAATGTGACATTGTAAGCTGAGAGGATTAGTGTTCGTGTGAATGAAATGAAATATAGTTTAATAAAACAAATGCCAGCTTGGATGCAATATAGAACGTCTACAGCAAATACATCTGGATTAAACTACGACATTTAAAAATAAACGATTTCAAGATACTCTGTTCAATATAGGAACGGTATTCTTAACCCACGTTTGCATCGACGGATAACAAATTAAGAGTTTCCAGTCATTTTATACGTCTTCGAACATTTTATCAATTTGCTTTTTTGTTTATATGTATTATAATAACTATGCTGAGCTCTTCAAAGCTCTGTAATTTTATATTTAGATATTTAATAACATTTATCCTAAGCCCAGTTTCAGTCTATGAAAAATGTTTTAGTATTTGGATTATTTAATACGTTATATATTAAATTTCTTGAATGATGATCTTGAGTAATAAAAATCGTTACAGACACAGATAGGAAAGTAGTCCTTAAGACAATTGTAAATAAAAACTATAGTCGGATAAGCTAGAATATTTTTGTTTATCATACATTTTCTTTTCAATATACTAAGTCCAGTATTCAAATATTTCATCTTCGTTTCTTCGATACATGTCCCAGAGAACATTCAAACACTTTTGTGTCTACTCCATATAAGTGTATTATATTTGTAAATATTGTGTGTGTGTGTGTGTGTGTGTGTGTGTGTGTGTGTGTGTGTAGTGTTTAATCAAATAAGTACTTCTTAAAACCTGAAACTCTTCAGGCTTAGTCAAAATGATTTTTAATCTTACAGAAAAGATTACTAAGCTATTTTACCTTAAAAACAACAACTAAAAACAAATTGAAAATGTCGTTGAATTTTTATTTTGCATTGATATCACTAAATAAAGACAATCCTTGTTAGAGTCTACGCTGACTCAAACCAATTCACCCTTATATTTATTAAAGGAAAAGAGAAGCGAATACCGAAGATTTATATTGATAAATATCTGAAATAACTGGATAGTCGATATTTATCGAGAGGCTTCCAATGCTCTTTGAAATGTTTTTGTTTTCCAAACTCCATTGCCTGTTCATACAATAACAGAATAACGATAACACAACTGTTAATTATGTTAATTAAAAACAAAAAGGTACATAACGAAAACAAAAGAAAATAACATTCATAATTTTCATAAAACAGCAACGGATCAATTACATGTTTTTACTTATTAATTTAATGTTTACAAAAAATAAGATATGAAACAATATTGTTTTACTTGAAATTCTGTACTAATGAGCTAGAAAAAAAACTTACCCTCGTACCTTTGGGACTTTTGCTATTGTTTATTAAAAAAACTTTCTATCTTTTATGTATTTCACTACACATAATGGGTTTTTTAATAACAGATATAAAGTCAATGTTAACATATTTGATCATTTCCTACCATGAAGCTTATTAGATATGAATATTCGATTTGGCAACATGTACCTGATTAGTAAATAATGGACAAAATATTTTGTATGAATCGCTTATCTAAATCAAATTCAATTATTGTTTTTGGCAAGGATCCTACAATTAATGTCTTTGAAGCTACAATTAATAGTAGTATTGTAATCAACGAATTATAAATTTCTGAACTGAATACTATCTATTTTCGTCTGATTTCCTGTTTACTTATGATTTCCTGAATAATAATTGTGATAAATTAAACCATAACAATTGTTGAAACTCAAAAGAAACTTTGTGTTTGTTTAACTTTCTTAAACAAACGATTGACCTGCTTTTGATAAGATACAACGTTAGACTAGGTCTTTTGGAAGTATATACATTTGATGTATTTGACCTAGAAACGATAGAAATGGGTAAAGAGTTAAATTTTGTATGCAAATTCCTAATTTTGGCGGGCACTTTTTCATTTTTTGGAATCCCGCGGACTGGAAAATAAACCCCAAAGAAAATAAAAAATTAACTAGAGTATATATTCATACAATTATAAACGCAATGAGTCATTGTTCGTATTTTATAAGACGAAACGAACTTCATTATAAAGGTTCTTCAAATTTTAATCAGTTATCTGCAAGGAAATTTTCAGAAAAAGAGCAAGTTTGATTTGTAAAGTTTAAGCTCACGTTATGTTTTACTTGTCTTAGTTAGTTTTAGCTTTATTTTAAAATATAAATAGTTCGAAGTGAAACAAATTAATAATAAACTATATATAAATTTAAAACATGTTATGGGTAAATCACATTAATTTGTGTTATTTTATTAAATAGTGTTTTATTTTGATAATACTTCAGTAAGGTAAAGTGAAAATCAGTTTACCAAACATTTTATTACTACCTACTGAGATAATTGAAATATAATTTCAAAAACTTTTTAAATAATTTAATAAAAATCATCAAATCTTCAAATTTTTTGTGTCGTTTTCAGAAACCGGCCTAAACTTTGTGTGAATTTCTTGAATCTTATTAGGAATGTATTACGAATTAAGACAATTATATTATGGCGCGTATATTGAGCACCAACATTTACGGGTCAACAAAATAAAATTTCGAGGAACCTTGCTTTGCATTTTGCACTGTGTACTTAAGACAAGTTTGCTTCGTCACACGATACACGCAGTGTTTTCAGTTTGTCATTCAATTAAGTACCGGCCTCAAAACTATAAATTGCAAAGATTTATGAATAAAATAACATTGCCTTTTGTATGTGTGCATACAAAAATATTTCAAACTATTGTTTAACCCATTTCGACTACAAAGATAGTTGAGTTGATATCTGTCATGAAGGATAACAATCATTTGAAATACAAAACTCACTTAGATTTCATTTTCTAACATACTCATTGTTCGCTTTGTAAATTTGTTAGATTTTGATGTGATAATAAAATAGTTTAATCGTTTAAATCAGATTAAAAGTTAGTTTTCTGTATCTATCCTTCAATATCAAATTCACAGATATCTCAGAATAATTTAATTAATAAAATCGGTTATGGTCTCACTTCTCTTAGGCGAAGCATTCTTGAAATAGGTATGCCTCAAAATCTTAAATTTCCTATTAATTTATAATAAAAACTCAAGAATGATCAATAATGTAGGTCTTTTGTACTTAAATATTTTAAAGCTTACTTACTATTAGTAGAAAATAATATGTCAATATAAGATATCCATTACTTTATATCATAAAATAAAAAGTTACTTATTATGTTTAAGACTTTTTTAAGCATATTGCGTTTTGTAATCCCCAACCGGATATTTTTGAAAGTCACTAACACCGGAAATTTTGGTCTTCTCAAATTCACATACAGTAGGACCCCGATTATCCGGACCTCGGTTATCCGAATTCGCGATTATCCGGATTGCCAATCGCGACGAGTTTATTCTAACGTGATGTTATATAACCCACAGCCTTCCACGATAACTGGACTATCCAACACAAAAAGAATTATTCAATTCGAGCCAGTAGTTTCGGAGATTAGCGCTTTCAAACAAACAAACAAACTCTTCAGCTTTATAATATTAGTATAGATATGCAAAAAGCCCGTTTTTCTTCATATATTGGATTATCCGGACTTTCAATTATCCGGATGCCTACCGACAACAATTAGTCCGGATAATCGAGGTCCTACTGTATTAATTATATGTATTTTAAAACAAGTATAAAGTACGGAAATTATAACCTAACTTTACTTATTATTTTTTTATTGTTGAAAATGTATAGGTACTTTGTTGTAACATATTATACATTTTACTAAAATCTAATAAATGAATAGGATAACAGCTGATACGTAAAACACTTAAAAAAAACTCAACAATGTTACGATCATTGCATCTTAATAGATAATAATTTAACTTTTTCACATTCGAAGAAGTTTAGTTCTGTTAGAGTCGACAAAAAATTACTGGTCCCAAATCAATAATTATTCTATATTATATATGTTTTGATAGTAATTTTATGATACTATTCTATTTCAGATGCCGAACCCTGAGGACTCCAGGGAACATATTGGTTGCTAATCTAGCGCTTAGCGACTTCTTAATGTTGGCCAAAACACCAATATTCATATTTAATTCATTTAACCTCGGTCCAGCTCTGGGAAAAACAGGTCGGAATAAGTAACAAGATTGTTGGATTGCAATATTAAATGAATAATTTCGTTCAATATTTTTTTAAGTTTCTAATTAATTTATGCAAGAAAGGTGGAACGTTAAAGTAAATGATATCATATTTTAGCAAATTCTCAACATATTAATGTACATAAGACGGATCATGTATTGAATATACAAATAAAATCGATACGAAGTTAGATTGGTGTCTGGAATGCCTAGAGTATTACAAAATCCAATCAAACTATTTACTTGTTACACAAAGGAATTAATTCTGATATTTCCTTAGTTTCATGAAGTAAAATCACAATAAACCATCCTTAACTAGTTTCTGTTAATAAATAAGAACATTCTCGAAGTGTTATATTGGTTTTCAAGTTTCCCAATACATTTGTGTTACAGGTTGCGTGATCTACGGCTTCGCGGGTGGATTGAGCGGTACGACATCAATTGCCACTCTAACAGCTATAGCTTTGGACCGCTACTGGGCCGTGGTCCATCCCCTTGAGCCGCTGCGAGCGCTTACAGCTATACGAGCCCGCTTGCTAGCAGTTGGTGCTTGGCTGTATGCCGGGATATTTGCTACCATTCCAGCTTTAGATATCGGATATGGTAACTACGTTCCTGAAGGCTATCTAACAAGCTGCAGTTTCGATTATCTCACAGAAGAACTCCCACCTCGTTATTTTATTTTTGTATTTTTTTGTGCCGCCTGGCTGGCGCCCTTATGTATTATATCGTACTGCTATACCAGTATTCTTAGAATAGTTGTAGGCAAGAGAAATATTTCCACAAAAAATCAAGAGCAAAAACTATCTTCTAGACACGTTAAGGAACAAGCTAAACGAAAAGCTGAAATCAAGATAGCTCTACTTGTTATTGTTGTTATAGCATTATTTTTTATTTCATGGACGCCATACGCAATTGTTGCTCTCTTAGGAATATTTGGCCAAAAGAACCTGATAACTCCTATGGTTTCTATGGTCCCAGCTTTATTCTGTAAAACAGCTGCCTGCATAAATCCTTTCATTTATATAATTACCCATCCTAAATTCCGTAAAGAATTCCAAAAGCTGCTATTCAAAGACAAGTCGCGTAGAATGAGAGGTACTCTCAGAACGACCGGCTACTATACAGATAGATCTAAAATGCACAGACAAAGTAAGCAACTCAGTGAAACCGACGTGGAAATAGTCGAAATGAAAGATATACCATATCACAATGCCACCAAAACGGGGAACTGTTATGTTGAGACAGTATCCTCAAAGGTATCTCATAGAGAAGGTTCACAGAAATCACAGAGAAGTGTAAGTATTAAAGATATGGAAGAGAGTGTAGTCTCTCCTCCATCGTGGTACTCCAAGCCACAGTTCTCCAAAAAGAGAAGCTTTCATCGTCAATCAACCAAAATGTCGTTTTAGTCCTAACGCAATTTGTTAAATGTTTATCTTGTTTAATGTTATATAAGCAATACAAGATTCAGATGTAGTTTGGTAAATAAAGTAGCTACTTGTAGAAAAATGTTATGTTCCCAAATGTTGTCTTATTATAATATGCGTAGCTTCTTTGTAGAGATCATTTACTTTTCAAATAAGAATAGTAATATTCTCTAAGCACACCGTTAATAATTTCTGTAAACTATTAAATTAATGTAGAAAGTTTCTATTTATTTAATTTGTTTTTATAAATGTGATATTAAATGTGTATAGTTGTAAAATGTACCAAATAAATATGAAGTATTTTTGTCAGTGCCTCTTATTTAACACTTTTCTATCATCGCGTTAAAAACCTCAGGTTTCATTTTATTTTATTTGTTCCACCTATGATCTTTTTATAAGTAGATATTTATTTGCAACTTGTAATAAGAACTACATAAATTTAAAAATAAATATACTCTGCTAAACTTAAAATAAAATACTCATTGTGCACAGCATAAAATATAAATAAATATGGTATCATTGTATCAATGTGACTTTAAGATAATTCCTATCCATATGTATTAATTTGGCGGCTGTATGAACATCAGAAAATTTAATTCACTCCACCTTATAATAATTAATACATGAAGAACTATACTGTCTTCCGACTATCTTATGTTGTTCTTTTAAAACGCCTTGAAAGCAGAAGAGCGTTCTCAATTCTATAAATTACGTCTATTTTAATACTTTCAATCAAAAGTAAAATACCTATCAAAATTGTTAACATACTATAGAAATGTAACAAGATAACTATGATATCTTCGATAACTATTTAGATAACATTTAAATCACATCAAAATCAAAAAATTTTATAAAAAAACCTCATCTTCCCATACCTAAAACGACGATGTATCAATCCTTGCATGTATTACAGCAATTTTTTGACTTGTTATTTTTAATGAATTCTTTTTATAGCTATCTTTTGATATTTTATATATTTCTAAGCAAGAGAAAAAGTGAAAAGAAATATATTTTTCAAGACCTTTAAATTGACTTTATAACATCTTGTGTAGAAATAAAATCTATCTATAGATACTATACTATACTATAGTATAGTTCACCAGTCCTTAAATGAAATTATAACTACTACTTATTGAGTAAATAAGATAGAACGGACTTATCAAAAAAGTATATAACAGTATTTCCCTTGAATAGTAATTAAAAACCTTTGTAAAGTCCTTAAAAACCTAAACCTCTTCAGTTTTTAGTTGGTAAGCACCTTTTTGAATATAAGAAAAGCAAGTTCGATTCTTATGTTAGATTTCGCTATAGTTTGGTATTATATGAAACATAGTTTTTTGTAACACAACAAACACAAATTTGTAAAGTAGGTAACTTGAGAATTTAGCTCACACGGAGATCCAGATTTTGCATTGCTTGATTACGTGGTATTCTAATAAGTAGTTGAGTATAAACTCGAAATACATTTTATAATTTTCAGCTAAACTGAACGGTGACGGAAAATTATTCTGTATTTCTCAACTTCATAGTTTGGTTTATCTATGCCTTACTATAACTGGAATCTAGTGATGTTGATATGTCAAGCTGACATATGATAATTGACAGTTTAAACCTAAAATAATGTCAAATATATTTTGTAACCTCTCAATCTCAATAAATAGAATTCTTTTAAAAGAAAAATATAATTATTTACGTAAAATACATTTAAGATCATATTACAACGTACTTTTCTTTGGATCAGACGTCATTGGCCTAAACTGTTTACAAGAAATCAACAAAATCAGGTATTTTAATAACATGATACTAAAAATTATTTAAAAATGTATGTTCTTCATTTTAATTAGTATATAATTTTACTTAAAGGAAGAATGAAAACGTTATACATCGATTGGATTTGGTCACAGCAAATAGTAGTAAAAATAAAACTGCTATCGAGAAGTATGCAGAAACAAATAATATGCGAATCTTACATTGGCCGAACTTGAACATCAACGAAGGTGAATACGACATTGGTTTGATAGTGGCATTCGGTCATTTAATTAAGGCCGATATACTCAAAAAGTTCCCTCTGTAAGTAACAGTTAGGTGTATTATACTTATTAGAATTTGTATAATTAAGAGAACTTGTTTCTTTTTGTTCAGGGGTATGGTGAATGTACATCCTAGTCTGTTACCTCGCTGGCGTGGTGCTGCACCAATTATTTACACTCTAATGCATGGTGACACAGTAGGAGGTGTATCACTTATGAAAATTAAGCCAGACATATTTGATGTTGGTAAGACTATCTTCATTTTAAATATCACACAATACTTTTTCTACTGGAAAAAAAAAATGGATCTACTGATTTTTAAATAAGGAATGTTTTTATCTGTAATTTTGTTTTAAGGTGAAATAATAAGTCAACAAAGAGTTCCAATATCTGATACTATAAAGTTGCCAGAACTGACAAGACAATTTTCTGACATTGGTGCTGAAATGTTGGTGGACTGCTTGAAGAACTTACCCGGAAGTCTTGAGAATGCTCAGCCTCAAAGCAATGAAGGTGTCACCTATGGTAATGAGCTTTTAAATTAACCTCATGTAATACAGGTCATGCCCAACTATAATATCAAATTTTTCCACTCTTTTCGATTCACTTAATCTCTTAGAGAAACTTTAGTTCTGTAATTATACATATTTTAATGTCAATATATGAGATAAGGATAGTTTTAAGTTTTTGTTCCAAAATAACTTCAATATTTTTTACCTTTTATCCAACAATGGACAGCAAACTGAAACCTTATTAATACAAATTTATACCTGTTTTTTCAGCCAAGAAGATAAATAAATCAATTAGCCAAGTAAGATGGATGGAGATGAGTGCCAAAGAAGTTTACAATTTATACCGTGCAATATATGGCTTATACCCATTAACAACAATGTTAAAAGATAAACAAGTGAAGTTGTTTAATGCATTTTTAGTAGATAATGACATTTGTAATGATAAACCCATCGGAACCCTTGAATATTGCGAATCAACAAAATCTATTAGGATATTGTGTAAAGATAAGAAATTCATAAATTTCAAATCACTTAGAATAGTCGGTAGAAAAGAAATATCAGCCGTAGATTTTTATAATGGTTATATTAAAAATATATCTGTAGATGTAAGATTATGTGTTGCCTGTTAGATAAATAAAACATATGAAACATTAACGATCTTTATTATTTTAAATCAGTAATCTAATTTGGAGATTCATTGAAATTGTGAAGAACATTTTTTTATTTACAATTCAATTACTAGGAACTATTGACTACTGTAACAATATCTTAAGGATAATTATAAAACATATAAATAGAAATAAAATAATATACATAAATTCTAATATTGATAAGTTAGTATTGATGCCGTTTTATAGAATTACATGAAAACCCAAATGATTTATTAATCCCATTAATGTGGGTGACGAAAAAAAGGTCTGTGTATGTAATTTTAGCCAAAAGAGAATAAACTGAGCAATCCCTTTTATGCATTAATTTAGGTGTTTATTAATTTTATGTAGGCGTTTTTAATATTTGAGGTAATCGGGAAGTTTTATTAATAAAATAAATATACTATTTATCTAATTTAAATAAATATACATACTATATAATAATACATAAAATAGTAGACGTCATATTATTTATATATTATTCCAACAGCCTCTACTGCACTTTATTTCTGAAATAAAAAGCATAAATATATAAATAAATTATATACAGTAGGACCTCGATTATCCGGACTAATTGTTGTCGGTAGGCATCCGGATAATTGAAAGTCCGGATAATCCAATATATGAAGAAAAACAGGCTTTTTGCATATGTACATATATAGTCTGTACCATACATATGTAATGTTAGGTGTTTATTTAAAACAACAAATACATATGAGCGAAAATCAACGTTTATTAAGAAATTGTACATAATGTACGTAAAAGTGTTATAAGTAGGGCCCGGATTAAGATGTAATTAATTTAATTTACGCGATTTTCGGTCTAGAATGTGTTTTTTTACATGGATTGTCATATTTAGACTGTGAAAAACCAACTTTTATTTTCCATATTTTACCATATTTCAAAGTTAAGTCCATATTTTACAAGAAAATGTCACAATCATCCATATATTCACAAAAAAAAAACATAAAATTTACGTTCCCGCCACTAATGTTTTATATAAAAATAAAGGATTTGATACGCTAAAAAATTAACAAGATTCTGTGCGAAAGTTTCGAGGGAAAGTAGACATGGCTTACACAATTACTGAATTAAGTATGCTTAAGTATGCATCCATCCAAGTATGTGGAGACATCATTCAGCAGATGTAATGCTATATTTCAACCAAATGGTCAGTTTTCATTTTGATAATTTAAAGAAGGACGTCATTATGTATTGCAACCGATTTGATAAAGCTAGTGTAATGGAAGTTGAATAAAACTGTTATTTTTTGTTGAAATAAATATTTCACTCCTTTTTTTCATCGTTTTTTAAATGTTTCTTAACGATGTACGTCACGAGTGACCCTTTCTAATAGTAAAACAATGTTTAATTATGAAAGTATTTTTTTAATACTACATATTTTTGATTTTTTCGTCCATATTTTAGATTTTACTGTACTTGGATATATTTATAGATACTTAACTAACATGCAGTCTTACATAAATAACCAATATTATGAATTACTAATTATTTCTAGTCTATTTAAAAATATATATAGTATATACTACAAGAAAAATATTTTTCTAATAATCCAAAACTAGGACAAAATGTATGCTCAAGGTCAAGTGATATTGATGGAAAAGCCATATATGAATAGTTCCGCTTACATTTGGGCCTAAGGGCACATTCACACTGGCGGCATAATGCCAACGATCGGAGTGTTACATTATATAAGTGTTTTAATTGTATAATTTTAATTGCCAACTGACTCTTTGGCAATATGCCGTTCTGTGACTGATTTAAGTATATACTTACTTTATCTGGTACTAATTTTAGCAAATACAGCAATGGGATTTTCTAACTATGCGAATCCTGAAATATGTAAGGTTAATAATGGTTTCATTGGAATCTGGCTTGATTAAAAATGTGCATGTTTATAATTATATCGTATGAAATGTGTTCTCAAGCAATTCTTATGTATTTCAAAATTAGGATTAGTAAAAAATTAAACTTCAAAAAGGAAACAGAACATGCTGGAAATAATTAATAGATAGCGGTGGTAAGTACATTATAATAAGTAGTTTTATATGCATTATAAGTGAATACGGCTACAATCATAAAAAATTAATTAAAAAAAGCTAGTAAGAAATGAATAAAAAACTTTTAGACTAGATTTAGTTTATTGCTCTTAAATATATATATTTTAGAAGTTACCTTCACACTTTAAGAAAATACAAATAAGTTTCATACTAATGTATGTGATATAAACCAGTGAAAGTTTTAGAGCGACATTTCCGTCATGTACCGAAGAAATATGTTATCAATAGTTAATAATTTGTCATTATATAAATATTCTCGAAGATAATACTTAAATAAACATTACCGTGTGAATAAGGAATGAAATAATTAATACAATATCTCTGCATAAGTTTAAATTTCTTTTTTAAACAAATTGGAATTGGATAAAAAAGAAAATATAAATGGATTTAAAGTATAGCAAATGAAGGAATAAAAAGTCCACTGAAAGATTGTTCTTTAAAAAGCAAGTAAAATTTTCAAAAACAAAGTTTTTAGCTGCCAGTACTATTTTCAAGTTATCTTTTAAGACAAGTTTTCATGGAATAAGCTACATTTTAGATGTGGGTCTAACATTCTAGATGTGGGTATTATGTAAATGTACATAATGACAAATTATTTACAAAAAAAATCTTTGATTTGAATAACTTTTATATAGGTATATCTGTAAACTTTAAGTAATCTGCGACATCGTTAACTATAACAGGATAAAAAAAATAAAGAAAATAGCCTTAGGAATAATGACACAAACAAATAATGCTTACACAAAATGAATAGAATTAGGAAAAAACAATAACAACTACAAAACTCAAAAATGTCAGGTTTTTTTTCAACAATTCAATGAAGGTGCTAAATGGTTATGTGAAACTTTCTTCAACTTTATTCGTTTAAAGTTTGACTTTATTTGAAACATTAAATTAAATCGTTTTAACATGATAAAGTTGTAAAAAGTTGTCTATGGTAAGTGCAGGCACGATGCGATGACGTCACAATCAGGTCACAGAGAACATTTAGGTGACGGCATACTCCTAGAATTAGTAAAATATATGATTCTGAATTCATTATATCAATATTAATACAACATTAAAATATGAACATGACATGAAAATTTAATTGACTATATTTTCATAGGCAATACTGAATTGACAATCTTCTGTCACATTACAAAATACAAAGGCATACTGCCTAACAGAAACTATTTTTTTATTATATAATAATATTTCAAAGTCTCTTTTAATTCACTCTCTACATAGTTTTAAGAACATACCTACCATATTCAATTTTATTCTGTACCACAAACCTATACAATAATAATGCAAAATCACGTTAAGCGTTTTATTTATCAAATGCAGTAAAAAAAATACAAACCATAAACCGTCATGATTGGTTAATTAATGCATAAAAATTTTAACAAAACAGTAACAAAGTGTAAACAACAAGCAAATAAAAAATATTAATAGATGCTTATGTTCTTGGGCGCAAATCTGTAAAAGTTTTTGTTAGTATCAATGTATTAGCAGTTGTTATTAAATAGATTAAGGAAGGAGAATAAAATGTTATATATATTAAATACCCATACATGCATTGACTAGCTGTTAGTATATAAAACGACAAAAGGTAATAAAATCATATGTATAATTCAACATTATTTAATTATAAAATATATCTTAATACTATAAACAAGTGTTATATTTTATATGCAATTATAATAATCAAGAACTACAGTGATAACATGATATGATAAAAAAATTAATTAAAAAATATTTATAATGGAAGCATTCATGAACTATGAATAATAAGATTAGCTATATGTAAGTTTTAAAAGATATTATAATTTCAAATCATTCATAACATATATTAAATACATACATATAAGGAATATATGAAATACATAAAGTAATATATCCAATTATATGTAGCATACCACATTACATTGTATGCAAGTTTCATACTAAAAAATATTTGTCATAACAACTCTATAAAATGTATCTTGAAAACAAGACAATGTCATACCTTATAATAAAATATTGAATGATAGGAGAAATATATTAGTTACAGGATACACTACATGCTAGAAGCGATACAATAGCTTAGAATAGAATATATATGAAAATTATTATCTAAACTAAGTACACCATCTAGAAATTAATAACAAACACTTAATATCTAATGCACTCTATGAATTATGCTCTCAAACACAGGATTATCTAAACACTAGCACCCTGTAGATAACAATGAAAAGGAAATATTGCGGTTGTAAAATGTTCAAACTAGTATGCTATAAGTATAATATATAAAAACATATATAATAAACATGATTATGTTATATGAGGTGTCTTATACACTCTTTTAAAGGTGTTTTATACACTATTAAGTGTGTTTTACACACTATTAAGGGAGTTTTATACACTCTATTAAGGATGTATTGCACACTGTTAAGGAAGTTTTAACTCTATTAAGAGTGTTTTACACACTGTTAAGGGAATTTTAACTCTATTAAGGGTGTATTGCACACTGTTAAGGGAGTTTTAAACAATATTAAGGGTGTTAAACACACTGTTAAGGGAGTTTTAACTCTATTAAGAGTGTTTTACACACTATTAAGGGAGTTTTAACTCTATTAAGGGTGCTTTACACACTGTTAAGGGAATTTTAAACACTCCATGAAATGTGTACTACACAATATAAGGAGTTTTTTAAACAATATTAAGGGTGTTATACACACTGTTAAGGGAGTTTGAAACTCTATTAAGGGTGTATAATAGACACTGTCAAAGGTGTATTGTATACATTTTTGTTATATCTTACATGTGCTCCGGATGGCTGCGGATGCAGTCGATGAAGTCTCCGGGTTTCAATTCACCACGACAGATACGGAACACAGCAGTGAATAAGGGGAATCTGAAATTATACAAATTCAATATATATTTGTAATATCTGTACATCATAGGGCGTCTTAATGCAGATTCGGTACGCGTGACTATATATGTATACATTATATGAATTTTACAAGTCCACGAAACAAAGGGAAACTAATCTAGAAGAAGATGAAAGGAAAGAAAATTCTGAAAATCCCATGTTAAAACTACCTTTAGTATGTAGTCTTAACAATTTATTTTTATTTGAGAAGTAATTTAAAACTTAACGAGAACATCACATACTTTTATGAATTAAAATCGGTTAAATTGTTACAACTATTATACTATGTATGCGTATAGCACTTTCGCCAACCCAACGCATAACGATTCGTTAAATTTTCCTATATATGTAATAGTATATTTAGATAACAATTACATAAATTAAATAATACCTACAGATAATAATGTTAGTGCAAATATATTCTACTTTCGATAACACTTCTATATTGGTGATTGTTTCATTTAGAAGCATTGATAAAGCGTGTGACAATGAAAATTAACCTTCTTAATGACCTTTCGTCTGATGGAATGACGCCAACATAACTGTTATATATAACGAACTATAGCAATGTGATATTACGAGAGGTTTCATTGCAAGGGTCACTATCAGTAATAAACTGTTGCTAGTCAAATTAATATATAAAATAAAAACAATCTAATTGATTATTAAAATTAAATTTGTTATACATATAATACTGTTATCACTCGCTTTGTTGATTATATTATTCTCTGGAATATAGAATACCCTTATTATGTTTTTTTCGCAATTTTAAAATTAATTCACATTTTTTCAATGTCTCTTCAGAAAATAATATTGTTTTTTCCACTACTTTGGTTGCAAATAACACAAATTAATGTATCACCCATGATTTTTTTTCAATACAAATTCACTTTTATTTTAAAAGTCACATGAACAAATCGTAAACAATAATCTACTTATCATACACTACGTATCATCCACTAATAATATTGAATTCACTTAATAGTTTTGATGTACTTTTTTTTTTTTTTTTTTTTTTTTTTTTTTTCTTTTTTGATGACGTAGTGGAAACTCTTTTTACGAGCCGTCCAACCGACCTTGGTGGGGCCGGAAGGGATGTGTGAGGCTCGGCCTGGGCAGGCCCCTACTCACTAAAACCACTGCGAAAGCCATCGGCCGCTATGTCGGTGTACCCCGGATCTGTCAGCGACAGGGCACACCAGCGACTGGCCGGTCCTGGCAAAGACCGGACTTACTCCCTCAGAGCATGGGGGCGATCCCGGCAATTAGGACCACCCCGACGACGCCGGGCTTTCAAAAGGGCCGGGTTACCACGCCGACCCCAGCCCGGAACACAGGGGTGCTATTGGAGGCGTAGGAATTGCCTCCGTCGCACCCCCGTACGTCGCCTGCGGGGGAGGGAGCATCAGCCGCCCTCTCCCTTTCCCGCTGAGATGCCTCCTTCGTGGACATGACCGTCTCACAGAAGGAGGACACCGCCAACCAGGACCCATCACTCTCGAGCATCTTCTCCACGACACTCGAAAGCGACAGGTCCACTCCGCCGAGAGCCGCCACAAGGTCTTGGCGCTATATAATGAATATTAAATTTATCTTTAAAAATAGCATATATTAATTTTACTGACATACGCATGTACAAAGTAGTAAACAATACAAGCGCATCTCACTCGCACTCACATATATATACTACCTCGCGCTCGTTTTTCTACAGCGACCCTACATACTTGTCTGGCAAGGGGTTGGAACTACTTACTTATGTTCGCATCCAAGTATACTCGAAAGATATCTTAATTTGTCACTTACCTATATGTTCATATTTGGTTCAAAGGTTATAAAATATCCGTTTTTAGTTCGACTATGAAAACTCGTGATAAAATTAAAAGCGTAATACAATTAACGTCTTTTATTGAGATTTTATTCCATACTAACTTGTTTTCCATATTTTTGTTAGCCAGCATATGGTTGACTTCCTCAGCCGTGATAGGACCTTGCAGCTTTTGTCCATTAAGCATTTCATCTTCCAATTCCTTTATAGATCGCCCTGTCTTCACGAAGGCTTCAGCTACACGTCTGTTCCTACCACCTGGTCATAATTTAAAGATACTTATATTACGTAAGAAAATCTCGTGACAAAATAATGTTCAACTATTTGAGGGTTCCTCAATCAAAAGAAACTAATATTTTCGGATTTTACTTCGCGTTTTTTAATGAATCATTCTCATCTCGTCTGCAAGTGATTACGGTTGCTGAAAAGTAGCCGAAACGTCGAGAGTATGTAGTTTGTAATTAAAAATAAAAACGCGAAGTAAGATCCGAAAATATTAATTTCATTTAAATGAGAACTCGCGAAAATCTTAGATCTCATATCCTCAATCAAGTTATTGAGGTAAAATAATTTTTGTTTTACGTCATTTTTATTTGATTCAAGTTTTAATATATTCAATATTACCTCAGACATAAACAAAATTTAACATTGCGAATGTAATATTGTGATATTGACAAACACATTCACATTCGGGTTAGTTAGTATTTATGTAACATTGTTGCAAAACTGTTTTATTAAAGCGATTTCAAATTTGTTAACAAATTCGAAAGCGCTGGATTTTTTACGTATGTAATTAAAATATTTTTTTTTTTTTTTGAGAACGAGCTATTTAAAATCTATAGTACATTCAAATTATCTTCTATATATATAAAAATGGATTGCTGTTCCTTAGTCTCGCTAAAATTCGAGAACAGCTGAACGGATATATTTTATCTTAGTCTTGAAATGTTCGTGGAAGTTCAGGGAAGGTTTAAAAGGTGAGAAAAATTGATTCATTTTCGGGAAAACCCTAAAAACTGCCCTTTTCTATTTCCCATACAAATGTTTTCTTTGACATAAGATTTGACAACTTACTAATATGTCAATCATTCTGTTCGATTGAAACAGGAAAAACCTGATTATTTATGGCCTCTAGGACGAAATAGAGTTCGCCCGGTCAGCTATACATATATTACTAACTAGAAGACCTGGCGAACTTCGTATCGCCCTATAATCAAGAAATATCTATTACGTTTTTTATTTATATTTTTGGAGTTTACCTGTAAGCCATAAATCTGCGTGTTTTGAAGTGCGACAGAATGATTGACATATTAGTTGTCAAATCTAATGTCAAAAAAAACGTTTGTATGGGAAATAGAAAAGGGCTGTTTTTATGGTTTTCCCAGCAGTGAATAATTTTTTTTCAGATTTTATACCTTCCCTGAACCTCCACGAACATTTCAATACTAAGATAAATCTGTTCAGCTGTTCTCGAGTTTTAGCGCGACTAAGGAACAGCAACCCATTTTTATATATATAGAAGAAGAAGATGATGAAATTAACGCGGACGAAGTCGCGGGCACAAACTAGTTCTGTATATTTTATCGAAATGTTTCTCCAATTCATGTCAAGTGTCAACGTACCGTCGTATTAATAACTTCAACGGGAATACTTCCAGATAATACTACTAGGTAAATATTTAATAAAAAGTTAGTGAAAACAAAGTATGTGCGGTAAATAACATGTGCGGTAAACAATTAATAAAACCCTATCATAATACCCCATAGGCCACGATAAGATTCCCAATAAGCACTAAGTACCACGATAACGTAATAACCCCCACATCGATCTATCATTCCTGTTTTTATAAACATGAATTACATGACGAAATACATTACAAAATATATCTCATGATAAATTATGTATTGAGGCATAACATTTGTTTTAATTCAACTACCTTTCTATATTAAGAATGGAGGAAAAGAATGTACGGAAAAAAATATTTTTTTTGTAGAGCTTTATCCTTGATTAATTTACAATATTTTTTCCTCAATATCTAATGTCACTCGCTTTTATTTTTAAATCTTTATCATTGATATTTTTTTAATAAATACCATTTATAATGTTATCATGGCTGTCTTAATATGAAGTTTTGTATTCGATAATTTATGATCTGCATCCGTTTACATCTATTAATAGTTGTATTACGTAGTTAGACAATAGGTCCAACAAATGAATGCTGATTATACTTGAATAAATTACTTCTAGACGACAAGCATAATCTAATAACACACACTAACATATATGGTACATTATAAATTCCCCACAAAGTACGTTAGTCAAAACCAAAAGAATGTACACAAAATATTGCTCAGACTTTCTATGATTAGTAATAAAAATGTTTATAAGAACAATTTGACTCAAAAAGATATGTTTAAAATAATTATGGGACTAAATTCGCGAATAACGTCATTATGTATATACAATATAAAGTATATTTTTGTCCGCTTTTGTTAGGTATTGCATCAAAAAGTTGTAAGCCTCAGGCCTCAACGAAGTCCGCTCTCAATATTGAGGACGTCTAGCGATTAGCGAATTAAGTACTTATATTTTATGCTTGATAACTGTACATTAAATGACGTAATCGGATTAATTAAAATTTTTCTTCTATAAATAAATTTTGACAAGTGACAATTAAAAGCATCGTAGATGACCTTACGAAGCATTAAAAAACAAAAAGTGTTGTTTGTTGAGATCAAAATATAATAATAGTTATATTTATATAAATATTGTAATTTAATAATTTGAATATCTTTTTCAAATATCGTAGATAATTCAAACATATTTAATAGCACTGAAATTATAACTAATTCGTACCAAAAAAAAAAACAAATTCTTTCATCTTTTTTCAACAAAAATAAAAACACGTATGTAGTACATTCGAAATATATTAATTTTATTTAAATGAACAAGATTCGCGAAAATCTTAGATCTCATTAAATCCTCTCATTTCATAACATGTAATTGTACATATAATGTATATCTCTTTAAATTCTTGAATAAAATATTCCAAAGAAAACGTAAGTATTTCTCATTACATAAAGTAAACAAGGTAAGAAGATCAAAATAATACTTATATAATATATGTAGCAGGTAGAATCTATGATCTTAATTCAAGGTAAATATCTCGACGTAATATACAGGGTGACTGGTGAATTACTATCAATATTTAAGGAGCATACTCGGTACATGATTCTCATTCGAATTATGTAAAAAAAATAGGCACTTAATTTTTGACAAAATTTCCGTATAAATAAGTAAAGTGTTGACACGTTCCAAGTGTTCAAGTGTGGACGCATGCGGCGACGTGTTGATACAACACCACGTCACGACATGCGTATGTGTGAGTGTGTGTGTATACCTAATCTGTAGGGTGTTCACACGATGCATAATAAATTACATAACTTTTGGTTAACTTTACTTATAAGTTTATTAATATTTATGTTATATTAATTTTTATTTTGTCATATATGATCGTCAAATATCACGTCCTCAAATATCGATAGTAATTCACCAGTCACCCTGTATACATATAGGTATTAGAGTAGCACGTAACGCGGGCGTGCCACCATCTACTAAGCCAATTTCACGTAACAATCTTAATAAGAACTTACTTAGTGAGTTGTATGAATTAAAATACACAGATATAATATATACTAGCTGATACTCGCGACTTTGTACGCATTTTGTTTTTAATATAATAAAATTTTGTAAAAGCAAACAAAATCATGAATACGTAAGGTTTGTAATAGTAGTTTTTCTTTGTGTAATAAATAAAAATGAAGTTATGACTGTTTTGGTAAGAGCCAAATATGTTGCATAAGAATGTAATATTAATGAAGAAAAAAAAATTACAAAATTCAACATACAAACTGAAAACTATTTTTATATTCTATTACTGTCAAACTTAAAAATATATCTACTATAATATACAGTTTTAGTATAAAAATATGGTTTTCGGAAGTACTACGCGATTATACATATTACACATTACACGACTTTACTTAAACTGTTATCTTAGATATAATCATAGTATATTATACTAACCAAATATTGTAAATGATGTTATGAGTCTCTTACATAGTGTATTAAACACATGTATAAAATAATTGAAATGTTATATAAAGTACCTTTTAATATACGGATAAATCTTTTCCTATACATGTATAAAAAACTAGGTTTTACTCGAGACTTTGCTAATGATCATCGGAGATACGTTCAGAGAGATATGTACAAGTGTGTTAAAGCAGTTCATTTGATGACCAACTGTCAACGACACTAACATAATATGTCAAGAAACATCATACACAATACAATTACTATTAATCCCATTGGGACAACACGAAATTCCGGATTTAAAGCATATGATATTCTGCAAACTGCAAAGTAATTTACATTATAGTTAAGTTTCATATTGGAATAACACGAAATTCTGAGATGAATTAAAACCTATGGCATTCTGTACTGTAATCTATATTATTGTGAAATTTCATCAAAATCCATTCAATAATCAATAGTTTCTGTGTCAAAGATTAACAAACGTACATAAATTCTCACAAATTTTCTCATTTATTAAGTAACTAGCATTCCGCCCGCATCTTCGCCTGCGTGGAGTTCGGTTATATCGCGTTTCCAAGAGAAACTTTCAAAAGTCTGGTAGAAAAACTATCCTATATTCTTTCTCAAGGTCAACTCTATCTCTGTATCAAATTTAATTAAAATCCGTTCAGTGGTTTAGGCGTGAAAGCGTAACAAACAGACAGACAGAGCTGCTTTCGCATTTATAATATTAGTAGGGATATATATGTTTTCTCTCACCGTAGCACGTAGTAATAAGATCAGCTACACCACAGGATTCAAAGAATGTGCTCAGTTTGCTTCCCGGGTAGAACACGTCCACAAACTTGATCATCTCCATCAAACCCAGTCTGATAACAGCGGCTTTGGTATTGTCGCCGAAGCCGAGACCATCGACGAATCCCGCGCCAACAGCCACTATGTTCTAGATAAAGGTACGTAATACTATTCATTTTAATGACTCCTTTGTTATATACATATATAAAGCAATTAATCTTTAAATATATAAGGAGTTGCGACAACATTAAAATATATCACAATAGCTTTAAATGAAACAAAGATTTTCCCATACTACTATACGTATTTTTATGATTTTTTACTGACGTTTCGTTTCCTTTACAGCAACAATGATTATGAGCAAACGAGATGAAAGTGTTATCTTTAAACAACTCTAAACAAAAATCACTTTTTTGAAAGACATTAAGTTTTGATAATTAAAATAAAATGTGCCTTTTAATAACCAAAAAAACCATAGGAGGATCCCAAACTCGTTTTAATAAAAATCGCTTCCATACAGAGCTAATTATTAAAAAAAAAGTAATTTTTCATAGTTACGTAAATTATAATAAATATGTAAATAGTAAGAAAAACATAAATAGAGGTCGTTTATTATCACAATTATTAATTCAAATAGTTCAATAACAATAATATATTATTTCCTTCAACCTGGATATAATTATAGTTATTAAAATACCAGACATAATATAAAAATTTAATTAAAAAATGTATTATACTAACGAATCTCTCGTTAAGACATTTCATTGCACACGCAACACTTAAGACGACAAGATTATAATGAAACAACAAACCAAAAAAATTATAATATATATATTTATAATCATTTATTTTAATTACTTTAAGTGTCATTTAAAAATAATTATAGTTAATTTAATTGTTTTAGATCACTATAAAATTTATTTCGCGCAAGAAAATGCCGCTATATTTCTTTCGTTCAAAAGCATTCCATATATCTCTCGTACAAAAGCATTAAGTGTGTTTAGTTTACAACTCTGGAAATCCTATTTTCTAAAATGCACGCATGAACGCTTTTAGTTTTCCTCCAAAGAAACATGCAAAAACATATATGTTTTAGAATTGCTTGCAAATGACTAAGCGAATTTACTAGCTGAGTTCCCCTCTCTTAATATGTATCTCACTGATTCTTGTAAGGGCGAGATATAATAATTTAATAAGCGCTTGAGACGCAATATTCTATAACTCAATAAGTCTTAGATTCGAGTACCGTTCGTGTCATAAATGAATTTAATTATAAGTATGTATTATCAACATTTTTAAATGTTCAAAACATATAGAAATCGAATTCAACTAAACGAAATTTTTCTTCTGCAAATTAATCTAAACTGTGGCTTATACAAAAATATTCCGACTATTTACACGGTATAGCTCGGGGTTCATAAAAAAGAATTATAAACCTTATATACATGTGTAAAGGGTCGGCTTTTGAACGCTACTATGCAAGAAGAAAATTTTCTTTTCTCACATAGCAATTAAAATACTTCTAGTTGACGTTCATATAAGATTCTTTTCTATTAATGTATATAAAATATACCAAACATTATTTTAAAGCTATGAAGTCCTATAAATTATTTACCTATTGATAACGTAATTTTGGCACAACCAAATACTACACCGGCCAAGCTACATACCGCTTGTAAGAAAATGAACGAAATAGTTTTATCTAATCGTCTCACACGAGGCATTCAGTGATAATAAATAAATCTTATCTAATGATAACAAGAAAATCCAAATCACATGAGAATCAGATTAATATATAAAATTTTATGAAACATAAATTTAATATCACTTTTATTTCTTTATCGTTCAAGTAAAGTTACCATAAGATACATATATTCATGTATGAATTAATTCTAAATACAACCCCTTGAAACTTTAATAGACGTTTACTCATGAATTAGAGCTGTACGTTTTCTCAATGAGGTCAACCCTTCAATTAGGTCAAGTATATCGTAACTAACTAAAATAAAAATCACATATATATAAAACTAAAATCAAATATACTTTAGCAGAACTCAATGAATCCTTCTTATATATTTTTTCTATTATAATGGTAGGTATAATTTTCTAATTTACCTTCAGAGCTCCGCATATTTCCACGGCGTCTTCATCATCCACCACCACGACCCTGAAGTACTCCGTCTGTATAATGTCCCTCATCATTGGTGCTAACATAACATCACGGCATCCTATAGTGGTCTCGCAGAACTTCTCCTCGGCAACCTTTACGTACGATAGGTCATGACAAAATTAAACACAAAAGTAAGTGAGGTTAAATGAATACGCGCGAAAGTCTTAAATCCCATTATATTATATCCATATATAATGAGACCTAAGATCTAATATTTTCGATTTACTAAGTATCATTTTATTATTAAAAAAACTACATACTCCCGACGCTCGTTTACTTTGCATAAACCGTGATTACGGGCAGACAAGATGCCCGTAATATTAAAATATTAATCCCATACGTAACATATGATGAGTCCGTTCATTAAATTTCAATTTAGATGTAATGAAATGTAAATTTGAACGGTCCCCAGCAATTAATTTCCAATTTCCAGCTCCTTACGACGGCTTTCCTTATTATACATATATTCATATACAGGGTGACTGGTGAATTACTATCAATATTTAAGGAGCATACTCGGTACATGATTCTCATTCGAATTATGTAAAAAAAATTGGTACTTAATTTTTGACCAAATTTCCGTATAAATAAATAAAGTGTGTACACGTTCCAAGTGTTCCAAGTGTGGACGCGTGCGGCGGCGTGCTGATACAACAACACGCCGCCGCCGCGTCTGTGTGTGTGTGTGTATACCTAATCTGTAGGGTGTTCACACGATGCGTAATTATTTACATAACTTTTGGTTAACTTTACTTAGAAGTTTATTAATATTTATGTTATATTAATTTTTATTTTGTCATATATGATCGTCAAATATCACGTCCTCAAATATCGATAGTAATTCACCAGTCACCCTGTATATTACAATTTTTAACTTAAAACGCGATACATTTAATAGTAGGTAGGTATAATCATACTAATACATTTAATTCAAATAGTTTTTTTTTCAAGCGACTATGAATTTTACTTATAATATAATTGGTAGTAACTTGTATTAAGAATATAACGAATTATTAAACGTAAAGCAACAAGTCTTGGTCTAAAATATTGATATAAAAATAGAGCTTATAAATCTTGTATAGATTACGTAATACACAATCTTGTCTTGTCACCACACGCGGGTATAGTTAAATTAAAATCTCAATTACCTTAACACAAGGCATCCGATATTTTCCTAGACAAGCTCCATTTTATAAGAAATAAAACGGTATAATACTATACTAACCGCAGCGTATTATTTTACAAATATCACATTAATACAGCATTATATCATATTGCAGATAAAAAATATTAAAAAAGCGGGAAATCGAAAATATTAAAGGTGGAATGTCAAGTAACCTTGTGAGTAAGTAAACATTAATGTATTAAAAAGAGATAGTCGTTTATTGAATACATTAATAAAAATGAATATTGAATAATTTTGTTTGTTCTCAAGTAATATAAACATACCATAAAAAAAAATGTAGTTCTTTTATGCCCGTGTAATAACTTGAAGGTCAATTTGTCATCAGTTAATCATAACTAAGACAAAGTCCAAAATGCATGCCATTCAAAGTTCAGAGGTTTTTAGTACAAATATAAAATGACATTTTCTAAGATACTTTGATATTTTAAAAGTATGTGTTCAACAAAACTATTTAAATGCATTAATGTATCATGTTTCATATCAAGTTCAATGCAATGTCAGCAAATTGTTTATTTATATACCACACTAATATACCTATTGAATTGATTGCATTACATTGTTTTATATTTAAAAAGTACTAAAATTTTTTTTTTTATTAATTTTATAATTATGAATGAAGAATAATTGCACTGAAATAAATATATGTAATAACTATCAACAAATTTTAATATGATTATTATATTATTCATTGATAAAGAACACTATTTTAATTCTTACCTCTGATGCAATATTGGCACCCATTAATACGGCACAAGGAATTTTCAGACATCTCGTTATGATGTGAGAGATCAAATCAATGCCACCACCCTCCGCAATGTCAAAGCCCTGCCAATGATAACATCAATTAATTCTCTGTAACATTTCATACATGAAGGTTATATATGATAAGATTATAAAATAATTATAATATATTTTATTGCTAAAATTATTAAATAAATATAATATACACAAACCTTTATCAATGACAGCGCAGCAGCCGTTGGTTTTATTTTACCGAGGAGTGTGGAACAAATTGTACGAACAAACTGATGTGGTACTACAAAGATCAATAGATCAGCATCTTTTGCTGCCTCTACTATATCAGGGACAGCTACCTAGCAAACAAAAATATCTAATAAGTCACATATACATATATAGTTGGAATACTGACAAATATAAACAATTTACACTGTCTCTAAGAATTATAGATGAAAATTAACAAAGGAATTCATAAAATTTTACTTTTTTATATTAAGTTATGAATGCATAACTTATGAGATTACATTCATAAATATAATACCTACCTATTAGGTGAGTACAGACATTACATAAAAGTGTGTAACACTGGCATTGAAATGGCTGTAGTATGAATATAACAAAAATAGACAGCATGTGCCAAACACATGTTCATGGTGCCAATCTTTTTAAAACTATATATAAAAGTATATTATATATATTAATTTTTTTTTATGAATATTGAACTTTCTATGATAATACATGTATATAAAGTAAGAATTATAACCATTTTACTTACAACATTTGGAGGTAATTTATGTCCAGGCAGGTATTTGACGTTTTCATGAGTTTCGTTAATGATTTCAGTCAATTTTTTCCCATCGATCATCTCCTCATACACCCACATAGTAACTCTATCTTCAAAGTTAGGAAGGCGAGCTGCATTCTTACCAACAATCTTAGCAATAGCAGAGCCCCTACGCAAAATATTAATTTAAGTTTAACATTCTTTCCATATTGTTGTAGTCTTTGCAACATATATCCACTTTCATTTGACTCTAATTTTAAAATGCAAAAATTAACAGTTTACTCTGCATAAGATTAATCTCATTCCAAAGTTATTGTTACCACTTATTTTCTTTATACATTATTTCGTTTAGGTATTAAAAAGGTCAAAGTAAACAAGTGCTTGTACAACATTACATAAATGGTTAGAATCTTACCAATTTCCAGAGCCAACAATACAGACACGGTTTTTAATTTGTTTTTCAGCCATGGTGTAAAATTATTTAATTTTTATATGAACTCCGTATTAACTCTCGTAAAAATATAAACATGCACTCCCGAAATTAAATTCAGTATTTTATAATACAGTCGCGACCAATCACCCGCGGCTGTAAGCCTACTGACTGGGTTACTGTTGGATATGATCAAAATAATTACAGTGAGAATGTTATCACACAATTAACCTTATCACTGACGGTTTATAAATGTCATCTGTCATAGCAGAAAAGACCGCATTAATACGTCTATGAAATGGCAATCATATTCCTTGTAACCATAAACTTATTTATAATAACTTCCATATATTAAAAACAAAACTCGTAAGCCATGACCATGTTATGACATGCTATTTAATGAAGCTTAATATGTAGACAAAAACAATCCTTCGGATTTTGTTAAACGGGAATGTAGTTTTTATGTCTATACCCAAGTTATTAGTAATTTAATTTAAAAGTTACCTTTAAATATTTTTTGGTAACTATTTGGTATTTAACTTATTGGTGTATTTAATAATTATATTTAAATAAAAATCGTCAGCAAATCAACTCTTAGTAGTTATAATGTTACTCTAGGATTCTTATTTGTCACCTGTCACAAATATTTTAAGTGAACTCGATTCAGTTTCGATTCCTATCATGTAAAGTATTATAAGTAAAATAACTTAGCTATTTCATTTAATTTCCCAGACAATTATAGCTTCCAGAGAGTAAATTGAAGTATTATAGGAATAGATTTGTAATTTGGAAACCATGTCTCAAAAGTACGTCCTTACATTTCTTATATAGCATGACTTATCGTAACACATTAATAATAAAAAAAATTGTAGTATTAAAATTCTTCCCGGGGCGACTGTATGCGAGGATTGCACATTGGAAGGAGATATAACTATCGGCGGTGGAACTGTTATTCACCCAAGGGTTACCATAATTGCAGAAGGAGGTCCCATTATTATATCTGAATATTGCATTATCGAGGAATATGCAACTATTATACACAAGTAAGTTAGTGAGTTATACATATAAATTTGTATAAAAGAAATGATGTCACTTCTTTTGATTGCAGGAAAGCTGAAACACAAGAAACTCCTCCAAAACCCCTGTTTATTGGAGCACATAATGTCTTTGAAGTTGCATGCAAACTAGAATCTTTTTTTGGCCACATAGGAGAAAGCAATGTGTTTGAATGTCGATCATTTGTTGGTTCTGATGTGAAAATTGGCAGTGGCTGCGTTATTGGTAAAACAGTTGTTATCTTCTCATATATGTTTATTTAAACGCTGCTGAACCAAACATTAATCAATTCAGTCAATACTGACGAGCAACAATAAAAATATTGGAAAATTTCACATAAGTATGATCCCTACTAATATTATAAATGCGAAAGTAACTGTTTGTCTGTTACACTTTCATGCCTAAACCACTGAACTGATTTTAATGAAATTTGATACAGAGATAGAGTTGACCTTGAGAAAGAACATAGGATAGTTTTTATCCCAGACTTTTGAAAGGTTCTCTTGGAAACGCGATATAACCGAACTCCATGCGGGCGAAGCTGCAGGCGGAAAGCTAGTATATTTATAATATTATATATAATTTTTTATGACATTACAGGTGCGGCTTGTCAACTCACAGTCCCTCAGACACTGGCGGATAATACTGTTATATGGGGTTCAGAGCACCATAACAGAGAAGCTTTAGAAAAACAACCCACACAACTATTACAACTTGACTTTCTCAGCAAAGTCATGCCTAATTATCATCGTTTAAGGAAACCTAATATTCACAAAAGATTACCATCCCGGCCATCTCAAGATACTGCAAAATAATATAGAATAAGCTCTATTCAATTTCTGAATACATATATTATATAACTAACTTAGTATTATAACAGAAATAAGTCCGTATGTGTTGTATTTTAATATTAACAGTTCATATAGAAACATTTCTTATTTAAAAGTAACTCAATTGACTCATTTTTTATTACTTTCACTTTGTATGTAGAAGAAATTATTACATACCTCTTCACTATTTATTATTAAAACTTTTGCTTGACAATTCAGCTTTAATAATCATGAAACACTAAAAGTGCATTTATGAAAAATTATTATATTTTTTGTTTAATAAAACCTTCATTTGTGTATTGAATTTCTAAAAAAACAATCTACAAAAATAAACATATAAATTATTGAATGTATGTATTTTTCTAATACTCATATGTTGTGAACTTCATGGTATGTATTGCGAATGAGTTATGAATGTAATAGTTTCCACCACAATTACATTCCAAAAAGGTTTGACTGATAAAAAGGTATTATTTATTAAACTATTAATTTTCTTATTAAACAAAATAAATTTTGATAATGATTGTCTGTTGAATGTCAATTTTAAAACCTGTCTCCTATAGTTAGTAAATATTTAAATAGTTGTCTTTAATAAAGGTATATCATTTGTTCACCTCATGTTGAAGAAATATATTTTTTTATATACGCCATGGATCAAAAAACCTAGTTACATGTAAAATATGATTCTTCAATATTGAAAATTTCATAAATATGTATAATCTGTCCTCAATCTGGTGAGTTTTGACATAATGTCAATCGGAAACAATTTTGGCTTTCGTATTTATAAATTTTCTTTTTGTTTATTTTCTACTTTGATCTTAAAACGAATTTTAGTTATTTATAGTCAATTGAATAATTAGTATTATACCGTTAAATATAAAATTGAAACTTTTTTCGTTTCTTGTCGATGGTTAGAGACTTATCGACATACACAAACGTACCATAGATTGCTCGATTTGTGAATCGTCGATGTCGTCGTTAAACTTCTGAGTCCTTTTAGTTTTTACTGTATAGTAGTAATTGTGCGTGACGGGAGATCAACAACAATAAAAAATCTTTAACGTTCAATCACTATACAATCAGCTTACTTTAAAAATATAGATCATTTTCAAGTAATAAATTAAACCAAGTGTTATTTTGTAGATCTTTATAATGAAAGTTTTGACGGATAATATTCAAGTTATAATTGTATCGAAGAGTGCTCAAGCTAAATAAAATAAATCCATATTAGTTGCAAATTAATTGTGAAATTACACCGTATCAGCTGCAATTACATTAGTAACGTTTTAAATAACTCATTAAAATCTGTTGTTGAAGTGTGAAGACGCCATGTTGTTATTTACTCACTAAAATATTCTGCTTGTTATGATTTTGTGTGTTGTGAATAAGTAAGTGCGTGAGTATGTTGGAAGATGTTCCCATACATGGAAGTCGAAGCGAATTTAAAAGTAAGCCACCAACGCATCAGAGAAACCTCAGCTTGGATATACGGTGAGATCGATTATGTTAACATTTCTTGCTTTACTAATGTCACCACATAATAAACTGGTCCAAAGTCTGCCGTATAATAAATCACAATTAACTATATTTATTAGGTCAAACAAACTGAAATTGCTTAGATTATTTTGTAAATACAATAAATGTTCCTAAAAAGCTGATGGAGAATGTTCCCATTAATTTTTATTCAAATCAAACCACCAATAACAAAGTTGGTTGTAAGAAGTATATAAAACATAAATATTTAAAAATGCCTTTATAACTTATCATTAGTCGTGTAAAACCTAACATAAAAAAATACTTCTAAGAATACTTGTATTATTTTATTATATTTGTAAATTAACACATCATAATTAATTGGTTTTTACATATAAAATTAAATGCACTTTTTGAGACCGTTATTGATTCTGCAAAGTAGTCTTACACATATGTATCTAATTTTGTTATCTTTAATTATATGTATGCAAATTTTGCTATACAGATACCTAAAATATTAATCAGTCAATCATAAAGATAAGGGTATATTTAATATTTTTTCAATATGTTATTTAATATCAATGAAGACATTTTCATAACTTGCTATCGTTATATGTAATTTTATTTCTCTCACTGTATAGAATTTAAGAAAAATTGCCAAACACTGGTATAATAATTAATTCTGCTAATTAGGTAATTATTCTATTTCCTTAATAAATTTGACTAAATTATCTTACAAATTTTTTGTGTATATTTATATTTATTTAAATAAAAACATAAAATAACCTGCCTTTTGTATAATAAATCTAATTAAGTCGATTAACAGCCAACAATAATAAGTGTATTAAAAACTCAACTATAATTCAAAATTATTATTTCTATGGAGATTTAATTATAAGTTGGCTGATGAAGTAAAGATAATAAGATGGATACTAAGGGAAGATTATCGTTAAACCTTTATATAAGTATATAACATAAAATACATATTTGAGTCATTGTTATTATGGTTCCTTTGGTTAAAAAAAAAGTTTAGTATCTATATTTATAAGTTTTAAACTCTACAATAACTTGTATCAGTAGGTATATATACTCATAACAAAAGAATATATTTAATTTAATACAAAATAATCCTTAACTTTATTTATTCATAACAATATCAATAAGCTATAAAACAAAATAAAAGTGGTCATAAATTTTGATATAATTTAATACTTTTACATACATGTTCTTGAATATATTCCAAATTTTAATGAAACTGATATACACAAAATAATTGAAGATCATTAAACTTTTAACTAATTAATTAATTACTAGATAGTAATTTTAACATAAAATTATATTTAAATTACTTGAAATCCTTGTTTTGGTTTTAAAACTGTTGTCACAAAATAACTGTCTAATATGTACAAAATATCTTTTCACTTTGTGACATTTTTGTTTTACATAGAAAGTTAGCAAGATATCTTAAAAATATTAACATATGTCCCACTTACATTTCACACTAATTGAAACAGAACAAACAACAAAGTCATTAAATGTATGTATTTTAACAAATATTGTTATTCTTTTCAATAGTTTTCTTGTTAATTTATAACTCATTAAACTATTTAAATACAAAATCCTATTATTTTACTAAACATTAATGAGGTAATAGTCATTTAATACTCATAAACTAATCATCCGAAATTACTAGCAATTGAACATTTAATTTAAATTTCATATAAAGTTCCGCTTATGATCTCGCTATTAAAGAATTTCTCAATTATATTTCGGAGATGTTTTAAGTAAACTATAATATGTAGGGCGTAATTCGAACAGGTGAATGGACGAGTGCGAAAGTAAAAGTGGTCGCCGTAGTGAGCCCACGACGGAAAGCTGCATTTACCAATTTCCTGACTAATGATTTTAATTTTATATCACTACATATTCATTATATTTTCCTCTCTAAAATAATCGGATTGGCGGAATTTAATAATTTAAGTAAATAATATTTGTTTCGTATTCATTCAAATTATTAATTATTATAGAGAAATACAATTAGCTAACAATTGTAGATTAACATTAAAACAACTGCCATATGATAAATGCAGAGTTTCAAATTACAAGTTAAAAGACTGTTATTGTTGGATATTTTAAAATAAGTACGTGACACATAAATTTATATATACTTACTTATCTATCAATACAATTAAGATATTAACACTTAGTTTTAAAAATTACATTATTTAATTTACATACCTACGTTTCTTTATCATCCAGCCACATGAAATTTTTATTATTGTAACCAATGATACAATAATAATCTTCTATCTTCTTCTTCTATATAAAAATGGATTGCTGTTCCTTAGTCTCGCTAAAACTCGAGAACAGCTGAACGGATTTATCTTATCTTAGTCTTGAAATGTTCGTGGAGGTTCAGGGAAGGTATAAAAGCTGTAAAAAAAAATTAATTTCTGGGAAAACCCTAAAAACAGCGCTTTTCTATTTGCCATACAAACGGGTTTTTTGACATTAGATTTGACAACTAACTAATATTTCAATCATTCTGTCGCACTTTAGAACACGGAGATTTATGGCTTAAAGGTAAACTCCAAAAAAATAATTAAGAAATAATTTATTTTTTGATTGAGGCAGTACGAAGTCTGCCGGGTCAGCTAGTTATAAATATATTTAAATGAAGGGATAGAATAATAACAGTTTAAACTTTTAAAGTAAAAAGATTCCTCATACTCCGAAATATTGGAGCAGATGTATGAAGTTATGGTCTCTCATTTTGTACAGTTTCATAAAATTCACACGATCACAACAAAAAAAAAAAATGCGAAAATCGAAAGTTATTTGGCTTCTCTATAAAATTTTCAATTCGATCGGCTTCAAGTCATCCGTTATATTAAGAATCTTTAGATCTCTCGTATATTTATAGGAACGGTGTTTAAAGCACTCCATTTTGAATATTTCTATTAATTAGTTTATGTTTTTACAGTTCTTCAGTAAGTGTATGTCGTGTTACTGATCAATCAAAAACAATTGACTTTTAAAATAGAATGTAAACGGCCTCCATTAAACGAATGCGCCGTGGACAAACCAAGGCCTTTTTCATTGTGATATCATATGCTCAACCATTAGAACACTACCAGAAATATAATTTAACCTTCCCAATTAACATTGGTCCAAATTATTTCTATATATTATTTCTATATATAAGCGATTTGATTTTTTATAACTTTCATAAAGCCTTAGTCGTATTTAGTTTTCCATCAAAACTGAATTGTAAGTCTTTTGTACATTTAATTAAGGATTATCATTACTTATGACGTAGATTATTATCATAGCCCTTGACACAAATCCTCTAGCATTATAGAAATTCTTGAATTTCTTCATTATTTTTATAGTCTTTATAAACACGATAATAATTTTATAAAAACGACAAAGCCGTTTATAAACGTAAACAGATATTATATAGCATTTTAAATGACCTTTTTAAACCAATTAAATAATAAATATTTATTTCT